CCTGGGGAGAGCAGGCCTTGGACTCACGCGGGTGTGGGTACAAATCACATCTCTGTCACTTACTGTGGGACTTTGCCCAAATTACTCAACCTCTCTGAGCCCATTTCCTCAAGTGCAGAATGGGCCTTTGTTTCCTCTTCCTGCACAAGGCTCAGAGGTGGGACCAGCTGATATCACTGGTCCCTCCCCAAGCATCATAGCCCCTAACCTCAGCACGGGCCTGGGGTGTCTCAGGCTTCTGCCACCACGCAAGCAATTTCCCTTCGTGGGGTAGGCGATGTTACCAAGGGGGTGGGGCACACACTGTCCTGCGGGAGGCCTCCTAGCAGCACGGGAAGGTCCCAGGTGCTCTGGAATGAGAACAGGGGTAACCTGTGGCTCAGGAGGCTGAAGAAACGAGCCTCCAGGAAGGACGGCCCTGGAGGCCCCGGCTCAGGTCTGGCCAGAGTCCCTGCCAGCCAAGGGCAGCGTGGAGGGAGCTTGGAGGGAGCCCCTGCGTTCCTGTGGGAGAAAGAGCCCTGGCCAGGGACAGAGGCACGCCTGTGTCGATCGATGCCCAGTGCCCTGAAGGACTCGAGTCGAGTGCCCCGAGGAAGCTCAGTGCCCTGAGCTTGTCCAGGCAGAAGGCACAAACCTTCCTTCCCTCCTCCTGGGGAAACACCTTGAGGACTGCCAAGGGGCCAGCAGAAGGTGCCAGGGCCAAGGCTCAGCAACCAGTGGGGAGGGGAGGAGGCCACCCCAGAGCCCACCTCTGAGAGGCCAGAGAGGACACAGAGACTGCATCTAGTGGCCGTGAGGCCAGCAGCCCCGCCTCTCTTCCGGGCACATCCCTTCTCCTGCCTCCCCAGCCTCACTGGCCCCCCGAGGAGCAGGATTGAGGGCTGGGGCCAGGCAGGGCGTCCCCAGCCCCTGGCACAGTGTGGGCCCATGCGGTCACTCCTCTATAGCTGTGTGTTGAAGGGATGTGTGGACGCCTCAGAGGCCCCACGCACTCCACCCTCTCCGCGGGACAGTAGGATGCTGGCCCCACCTGGAGTACACCCCCCATCAGGACTTTGAGAGCCAGCCTCCACTGAGGCTGGGTCTAGGGGTGCCAAGGAGTCCCCGTCCAGGCTGGGGCTCTCCTGGACACTGTCGGTGCTGGTGTTGCATGGGGCCCCCAGGCTCAGCTCATTCCTCCGTGGGTGGCCCTACCCTCGGGCAGCTCAGAGTCGGTCCTAGGAGATTCTGGTGTGACAGAAGTGAAGTCGAGCCCACGGCCTCTGTATGTGTGCTGGATTCCCGGTGGGCATGGGCGGGTGGGGGTCATCCTCCCTGGGCCTGGGGGCTGGCCCACCTGCTTCCAGGAGGGTGAGGGGCCTTCCCGGTGCAAATGCAGAGTCCCCTCACTCCCCCAAGCACTGACCACAGTGTTAAGCAGAGGCTCTGGCCAGCACAGAGGGGGCTCCCTGAGGTGCCTCCGGGCAGTTGGGGGTGGGTGGAGCTCAGGGTCTGCCCAGTGTTCCCACTGGAAGGGGTGGGGTGTGCACACTTCCTGCCTGGTCACCTCCAGGCTGGCTCTTTGGTACCCTCTCTTGAGCCCTGGTCCCATGGTCCCCTACTGGTCACATGCAACTGAGACCCTCAGGTCCTGCCCTGGGGCGGGGGTGGCAACCGGTGGTGGTGGTGGTGGTGGTGGTGGTGGTGGTGGGGGGGGGGGGGGGGTGTTTTCTTGGCTCTAACCCTCTTGGCTTCCTGGCAGCTCTTCTGACATGGAGCATGGATCCTGGACCCAAGATGCTCAGGAGTGAGCATGGCCATCTTCTCCCTGCAGCTTGGCCATTGGCGGAAGTGGCAGTGGTTGGAAGGAAGTCTGGCAGGAAGGTTAGCTCCAGCTTCTTCTCCAGAAGGGTGGCTTTGGGGTTTGAGAAGGTCTCAGTTGTCGTTAACTGCCAGCCTAGCTGCCCACTCCTGCCTGACTGCTGAGGCCACCAGCTCTACGGCCAGAGTCCTGGGCAGCATGGGCCTTGTTGGCCCGGAGGGTAGCATAGGTGGGGCCGGTGGGCGAGGGTCTTGGCAGGACCTGGTGGCCACATCTGTCTCGGGAACCTTCTTCCTCAGGTGTGACTCAAGGGTGCTTGGTGATCAGGAGGTTGGGACTGATGCTGGGGGGGGTTCTGAGCTGAGCTTTTCCATCAAGATGCAACCCCACTGGCTCCCCCACTTTACACAGGGACCAACTGAGGCAGGAGAGTGCCTCTACCTGCCCGAGGACCCAGGCCCGTACCGCCACTGCCTATGCTCTGCAGGTGCGCGTGGGTGCGTGCCAGACACACCTGTGCTTGAACCCCAGGTGCCCTGGGGTAGCCTCCCTTACATAACTTTCCATGTGCTAAAAAGAGCTGGGTCCGCCCTGCATGGAGACGGCAGAGCTCTCGGAGGAGGCAGAGGAGTGAAGGCACAGGCACGATGCGCAGTGTCGCAGCAGGAGGCCAATCTCCAGAAACTGCCAGCCTCCCCACCAGGCAGGCAGGCCAGGACTGGGTGACGTGGTAGAAAGCGGAAGCAGGCTGGATTCCCACGGGTCGACTCACCTGGCAGCAGACTGGGGGACGATGGGCACTCCTTCTGGGTTCTGCCCAGGGCCTGGGGCCAGATCCTGCCTGAGATGCCCCGGGTGGGCCAGGGTCAAGGGTAAGCATGGCTGCCTGCCCTCTGCTGGCATCTGTTAATGGTTGTGTGATCAGTCACCTCGCTGACTTGTGGCCTGTACCAAGAGGCACTCAGGGGCTTGGTGAAGGGTTTGGAACACCAGCGTTGTCCCACAGAGCCATGCAGTCCGGCACGTGGTTTCCAGACCTGTCCAGGCTGATGATTACCACCTGCCTCATAGTCGATATGCAGCACTTCCCCTGAAACAACCTATGAGTGGATACCCCAGCCCCCGCTTGGCCCTGTCCCGGGTTTTCTCTCCGGGGAGGGCAGTAGGCAGTACGTATGCTGGCTTACTCAGCTGCCCAGCCCACCCCGCGTTCAGACACCAACTCTCCTACCTCCTGTGTGCTCACGTCCCTCCAAGCCTTCCCCCACGGCACTCTTGAGGAGCAGAGAGGGCCAGCCCCAGGCCTCTGCAATCAGGACCCTTTTGATGCTGGCCCTGGGAGCAGCAGCTGCACCTAACTGCTTCAGGCATACTCATGGTGGCCAGGCTCTGCCTCCCCCCCCCC